CTGGTTTCGTTCATATTTCGTTTGTGCTTTGTTATTTTAAATCGTGCCATTCGTTGCATTTAAAAGAACAAAACGCCCACGAAATTATTCACTTCATTTCCACCGTTCCTCCGATTATTCGCTACACCAGTGATCCGTGAACTAGCCGCTGTCATGTGTTCTTGCCCGTTGACTGGGGTGTATTTCATGTAGGGCTAGAGGAAAAGGGCCAAATTTGATAGGGGAAAACAAATGACTGAAAAGTAATTAGCGCGTGTTTCCCTCTGTTAAATCTGGTTCTTTTTCGCCCTGATTAACTTCCTGTTTTTTGTTGTGAGAAGAGCGAAAGCACGCACTCATTCTTTCGTCTATCTTTCGGTTCGCTTCACACAACGACGCAGGAAATTAGGGTGTTTACCTGCAGCATAAAGAGGGTCCCTGTGTTGCGTTTGTATGGGTCACATGAACTTTCTCGTACGTGTAGAGCGCACTGCAAGCAATGAGCAATTGCGATTTATGTGAGTTTCCGCACACGATTCAAGCCGAAGGCGTGGGTACATGAGGGGGGGGGAGCACATGTAAATATATATATATATATCTGCATGACCATAAAAACCTTCTGCATGAGGCCTCCGATTGATCATACAAAAATATGTGCTGCGTGCACTTGGCTCCAGCGTTTTTTTTTGTGGGTCGGAGCCCGGCTGCTTGTGCGACGTCGGCCTTCTTAGCCGGCTGCACTGGCGTGGTGCTGTGAGGCGCGCCGCAACGGAACAGGGGCTTAAGGGTCACAGAAAGGACTGCTGTGGCAAGGCCTGAGGCTCGATCACAAGCCGCTCTGCGTGTGCTTTCTTGTCTTCTGGAGAAGGTGACCCACAGAAGAGCTTTCAGATGAAGGCTCTACACGATCAGCGTGGAAACAGACAACAAGGCCTGGACCTGAACCGCTCGATCCGCACACGCACACGCCTCAAGCACGTCGTTTGTAGTGCTGCATCCCATCTGAAGAGATGTTGTGCGAGCTTCACCTCGTGTCGTTCTTCAGAGCATGCGAGTCTGAGAGGACAGAGGTTCTCGACTCGAGTTCATCTTCTCAAAGCTTCTTCTGGGCCTATGATGTCGGCCATTAAGTCTCCATGAACAGTAGTTTTTGCACGGCAACGCCGCCCTAACTGTTTCAACTATCCGTACTCAATGCAGCACATGTGGACTAGAGAAGGACCCGTCCAGCAGCTCCGATGCGACAAGAAGTGGCTGCTCATACAGATCTCTCTTACACCTCTCTCCGTGTCTCTCGCATTCTCTCGCCCTCTCTTTCTGGCTCTTTTTCCCGTGGTGTCTGGCGTGCTTGGGAGGTGCACGGGGCCGACAAGTGCGGCGCCACAGCGGCGCAGCAGGCGAGACGGGCACAAACCCGGCTACCAGGGGTCTCCACGTCGTTATGCCCAGAGTATCGCAAGGTCTGCGAATCTGCCGACTGCATTAACGTAGCGACAGGTTGTTGTGCCGGAACCAAGTTACCTGCAAAACGAAAGCCATGTTTGAAGGGAGAGTTCTCTGAATCTGCAGGACGCCTTTTGGTAGCGGCATGCTGCGCAGCTGACCGAGCCTCAACAACTTGCAGAGTCATGGAGAGTTCGAGGCAAGATGTGCTTCTGCTGTGAAAGCATGTTTAAGACAAGTCACTCCAGACTTAAGCTCTCCACTCCGATATGTTATTGGTGGTTTATGCATCTGCCGTACGCCTGTTGCCCTTCCAGAACTAGTGGCTTGCATTCCCTATGTATTGGCATGTCGTAGCTGCAACCTTTGCATGCAGCCTGAAGCAAAGAGCTATTGTAAATCCATGAGCTTGCGAATAGCCGATGCCTTTTTGGCCCGGCTTGTGGACAGACTGAAATTAGCTTTCGAGTCTTGGGTAGGTCCGGGTAGGGCATCGATGAACAAAATCTTTCAAATAGTTTGTGTAGAGTTGGAGACTCGAGCTCAGGTCGTTGCCGTGGCTGTCAACCTCCCTAGCCGCGCAGACAGACGGCGAGCGAGGGAAGCTGCCGAAGAGCTTGAGCTCGAAACGGAAGGCTGCGGGATGGGAGATTCCATCCGCTTGTCGGGGTTAACTAATAAGGTGAGGTCAGGCAAAACAAACGTCTTGCAGTCCCTCGTTGGGCCCTGGTAGTGTAGCTGCAGGATCGCTACGTGGTGGGTCTTTTCATTCACCGAACTCGCTTTGTCTTGTTGCGGCCGGAAGGAAGCAGTGAGCTGGATGAGGAGCAGGAATACCCATTGGTAGCTGCAGGCCTGTGCCCTCCCTGCCATATTGAGAAGCATTACACAGGCCTTCGCAGCAAAAACTCTTGCCTGCAGGTGGCTCAGCAAGTAGCCCGTCCACACAGGCCTTCTTGTCTTTGGTCAAGGCCTCGGCTCGCCTCACTTCAGCCACATTCATCGCACCGGCAAATCGGCACCCAGGATGAAAAAGATGGCCGATTTTGTGGCAAAGAGGGAGACCTTTGCAAGTGCTTTGGCAAAGTGCGCTACGGACGTCTGAGTCTCATCATCCGACACAGGAGACGCGTGTGAAGGAGTCACTGAGACCTTGAGGCCTTTTTTCGTGGTCCGGCGACCTCGTGGTCGATGGCAGCGTGAACTGCTCCGCTGCCCTGTTCGGTGATCCCATGCCGCCGGCGCCCGAGGGGTGTTTAGCGGTTTAGCGTGGAGATCCAACCGACACCGGTGGATAGAGATCGTGGCATGGTGGTCGCCTATGTCTCATGTCTGGACATGTAGATGAGCCATGCTCAGGTTTTAGAATGTTTTAGATAGATGAGAATCGTCTGAGCAAATGGTCACATTTTGCAGTAGTGTGGTTTCTGCCACCTTGAGGATGGATCTGAAGATCTGCAAGTGCTACCCGACCATGTGTACCACACAAGCTACCCGGCTTCAAAGCAGACGGTCCTGGTTGTTGTTGGGGGATACCTCCCGCCTCGTGCGGATTGGGAGTCTGCTGCCGCAGGTGGGCATTTGCACACCGGAGCCCTGCATGTGCCCCACGTGCGCTACTGAGCGTCTCTGGGTCATTTCCCACGAGTTGGCACCTGAGCCCAGCTAACGCCTTCACTGTGGCCGACACTCGAGGTCCCGTGATCCGGACATGGAATGGGCAAAGAAGACGCTTATGACAGGCGATGGCACGAAGTGCCCGAGGCCAAGAGATTGATGATTGATGTTCCTGTGTTTTGTGTCATTACAAACGATTGCGAGGCTGGGCCTGTGAGAAGAAGCGAGCCAGCACTGGTGTGGCAGAGTCTGGCAACTCCACCTACTGCCCTACACAGATGGGTCGTTGCTCTCTGAAGCGGCTTGAGCCCCAGTTTCTGCCTTGCCCTTGCCGGCTTCGAGGTAAAGTTGCTCAGGTCGTGCAAGTGCGAAGACCCTGCCGACATCAAGCGCGTCATGCGGCAGCTGGCCTTGAAATTTTCTTCGGCCGGAACTGGAACTGCATTGGCCCAAGGGGTTCCTTCAACCAAGGACGAAGAACGGAGAGAAGTGCTGGACTTGTGCTCCCGTCGGGGAAGGCAGGGCCATGGGCATGGACAGCGGCCGGCTCCCCAGTGAACGAGAGATAGAGAGAGCCCTGGAGCGCACGATATTGCAAGCGGTTGGGTCCCCTCACCAAGTTAGACAAACAAGCAGGCGGCACAGAAAAGGATGCCCAACATAAACTGCAGGTCAAAAAGCTATGTTCTGGATGCTGCCGCTGCTTTGGTCCTTCATGGATTGGCCCAACTCTTTCTGGCAGGCCGGGAACTGAGGCCGTTCTTTCTGTCTGGGGACTGAAGCCGCAGGGTTCCAATTTGACGTTTCTTGGGGTTGGGTTGGGATTCGAGCATGTTCAAGCTCGTTGCAGAGCAGGGACAAGATTCGACTTCCGGCGCAAAGGCTGAAGTTCTATAGAAAACTCTGCTGTTTTGCTTGATCCGCCACCTTCGACCTGGTGCACGATCTAGTCCAGCCTAGCAGGGATGACCTCTGGACAACACGGCGAGGTATCTATACAGGGTTTCTGGCGCAGCAGCAGCAGCAGCAGCAGCTAGGACGAGTGGTTTCCGAACAGCCCTCACGCGGCACCACTCTGCATGCAGACATGGTCATTAGCTGAGGTGTGCAATGGCGACAGGGCATTGACCATATTTTCGGCTCTTTGCATCGTCGGGCAGGAGCCCCGATCTCGTGCGAGCTACGTGTGATTTGAGGGTCGATTTGTCGGTTGGTTAAAAGCACTGCATGCCAGGGAGTTGCTGCCCTCAACATAATCAGAGACACTCCTCGCTACCCCAGCAGCTGTCCGAGGTATCTTCTGCAGGTCTTCGCACCCTTCCTTCGCCTGGACCGATTCTTCTCTTTCTATGCGCCGTGCATGAAAAAGGGCGAGTTCTGGCCGGTGACTCAGGCCTTAGGCCCAAGAAAGTCGCAATATCTCAAGACTATTGGCCCCTTGCATGGTGTCTGCAACCAGAGGCGCTTCTTCACCTACTTCATGCTGCACTCAGATTTGCAGGCCGCTGCTGGAAATGTTGTTCTCCTCCTGGCTTCCCGAATGCCTTCGACTGGGGATTCTACTCACCTGAAGTCCCTGTCGGCACTGTCTGACCAAAGCCCAAAAAGGAATCTCACTACGAGCTTTCCTTGCTTATGTTCTACAAGCACATAAGAAATAGCTTAACTCACCTGCTTCTACATGGGTCTCTTGCTCGTGCTGCGGATCACAACAGTTTAGCATCACGAACAGGTTAGATGAAAGCGGGAATCTGGAAAACACACTATCATCAGCGCGACATAAGTCTCACCCACGGCAAACTAAGAGAACATTCGATGTTCAGCTCCCTGGTAAGACGTGTCGCGGACAGGACAGTGAGCAAAGTTACAGTGGCCCTATATGCCACAATCCCCGATTCCCACAAACCTCAACGAACTCCCGCATCACCAGCCCTCGCCAGCATCTGTGCGTGAACTTGTTCCACCTGATGGATGCCCTGGATCTTGAAGGGGTGCCAGATCTTGAAGTCAGCTCGGTGCTCTGTTCATGTCCGGCTTAGCTTGAGGCGAGTTCTGAGTACGGAGTATGCACGACTCCGGCTGCTTTCAGGTCCAGGAGTACCGCTCAAGTGCACCCGCGATGGCCCCGTGGCCACGATCTGTTATCCTGATGCCGGGAAGCCCAACAACGGATTTCGTGTCACCCTTTCGTGCACTGGACGGGGGTGGCATTGAAGAGTTCAGAGGATAAACTACAGTGACTACAGTCGCCGCTTGCACATTCTTCCAGCAAGGTCGGGATCGGCTGGAACAATGCCGCTGCCTTATTACAACTGCCTTGTTGACGGTTCGCTTCAAGCCATAGTAGTCTTAGGTGGTGGGTATCATGGCCACGGTGCTTGCGTTTGGTGCGTTGCCGCGGCCACAGGAATTCGCCTTTTCTGATGCAGAGAGAGGGGAAGTTAAGGGAGCCTTGGGACGGGGTAGTGACAGCACGCCAGGGTGGGCACGATGAAGAACTTCGGGGCCCTGGTCCAGGGCGTGTCGCGCTTGCACTCAGCTTTTTATGGTTCGTCGAGAGCAAACGACGCTCAGACTGAGGCGAGTTCAGTTTGCTTCGGCGTGGACGGCGCGCTCATCGCGCTGTATGGGGTCTTCCTGGGTGCCGGGCCCGGGGCTCGGGCCAGGGGCATCCCCTACACTCTAGACCCCATTGGAGCTGAACAGTGCTTACCGATTCGGATATGACATGTCCCTTCGTGCAGTCGGAGAACAACCCGAGGTTAGATCAGAAGTTGAAGATTCCGGAGTTCGGCGCTTTCTTTTGGATGCGTGGGCCCGGCCTGCGTCAAAGACCATCTGCAGACAACACGAGAAGTGACAAAAAACGGCACTCTGTGGCGCGTGACAAGTGCGGGAGCCTGATCCTGCCAGGCATCGGAATCATCGCGTTTCATATCATTATTGACATTGTCACATGCTCGGATTGCATGCAGTGCCAGATGTCGGGAAGCGCATAGCAAGGTGATCTGGACATGCTTCTCCCGTAGTTGTCGAAGCCACATACCAGCAAAACCCCGAGAATACGCAATGCCGAGGTCCAGAGCGTTTGTGGTTCTGGCAAGGATACAGTGGGCACTGTTGCACACATGGCCTCGCTCGTCGCAGGCGATCCAGGGCAAGCAGGAGATTTCGCTTTGCTCTGCTGCCCTAATCGATCCTGAGTGCAGGCTTTTGCTACGTCATCCTGGTTCTTCCACCGATGGGTGATGGGAGCTTCTTCGGAAGCGACAGGCTCTTATACACCATGACTGCAATCTGCAAGTTTGGGTAGCGATTGGGTTGCTGCCAATATGCACTGGACAAGTGTCTGCCAAGCTCGATTACTCTTGTGCGCTCGCAGGCCCTACATTGTCAACTGCGGCATGACAAGCCCGAAGTATGTGACATTAGATGCTGCTCAGCTTGCATTCATCGAGGTGCTTCATTCGGACTGCACAGCAGGCACCCGCCATTTGACCTGTCGTCAGGAAGCAACTACGCAGTGTCTGGCCTTCTTCAGAAGGACAGATGTTTGAACTGCAGGGACCTTGGCGCCAAAACGTTGCTACAGGTGCTGCATCAAACATGGTGTTAAAGAGGTGGAAAAGTTTTGCAGTCGCACCGTTTTCTCAGCTTGCTGATTCCACCATTGCAGGAGCAATGGCATTGAGATTAACACCGCGCAGAACATAGCAAGTGCGCCAGCCTGCCATATCGCCCCGGCAATGAGTTGACAGACTGGTGACGGATGCTGCCGAATTCACGGCCGTTCACTCTAGTTGTTGCAGCCATGTTTTATGCGAGAGCAATCTTGACCAAATGTGGGTCGCGATGTGCAGGTGCTGTGCTAGTCATCGGTGTCGTAGTCGCGATCGTGAACGCAATCCAAAAGCACATTCCTCAGAAGGCCGTGCAGATTGACGACATCACGATTCGCTACCATCTATATACTGCAGCGACTGAACAACAGCTGTTGGCGCTTGAAAGAAGCACTCACAGGTGAATCCGGAATAGCCATCTCCAACGAGCTTCTTCCCACAAAGCTGCGTGTTTGTGTTGTTTAGATTGTTCGGCGTTTGCATGTACCAGGCTTTACTGCAGACCTGCTTGACATTATCTTTGCCTGCTCTCCTGAGAAAGAATTGGGTCAGATGTTGAATGGCTTTGAGCCTAGCGCCTTGGACACATGTTGGGCAGTTGACTTGAGGCGGGACATCACAGACGATGGAATCGCCGTCTTTTCATGTGGAGACTCGCAGCAGATCGGCGCCCAGACCCTCACAGGTTGCGATAAGCCGACAAAGAAGTCTGCATTCCTTCTACTAGTCATGTCTAACTAGAAGTTCAGTTCACTGCCAGCCTGGAAAGTTTTTAGAAACCTTGAAGGTGGAACTACTGCAGCGAAAGGATTAGTGTGAGCTATGTCTAAGGCTTGAGAAGCGAGCTGTCCGAGATGACAAAACAACAGAGTTCGAGCCCTGGTCCTTGAATCTTGCTACCATCCCTCTCGCGAGAAGGCAGGAGGGGGACGGAGAGCGGAAAAGGTGAACAAATCGTACCAAGGGCCTGCACTGCGCAAAGTGGCCAGGCTACACGTGCCTGTAGGCCCCCCAAGAATGAGAGACCTTATTGACGAAGCAGAAGAAAAAAGCCTCACATACAGTAGCGCATGAGTCCCCAGCAGCAAGACAAGATAAGCGGTTCACATGTCTCCTTAGCCTTCCACCAACTATCACCACTCTTACTCCCTTGGCCCAATATTAATAAAGGCCACAGTAGGTGGGAGGGCAGGTTGCGGAGGTGTTTGTTGTTGAGAGTTTTTTTGGTTCTTCCTCGTGCGGGACTAGGCTTAGATATGTGTGTCCGTGTGTGCCTTCAGGGTATTCACGGTCTTTCAGGGTTGTTGTGATTTCTTCTTTTTGCTTGTTTCCCGCTTCCATTCTTCTGCGATGCTTCAGGGGTTGCCTTCTTGTGACGTTACATCTTGGCTTGGGTTGGGTTGGTTTCTGGTAAGGGTTCTGCTAAGGTTATTAGAGGTCGTTGATACATTCTGTAGCCTGCTTCCAGGCTGGACCAGGAGATCACAGGCAGGGAGAAAGTCTTGGGCGAGGTCAAAGACACAGCCAGGTGCTGAGACGAACATGCCATTTGCCTCAAACACAGCGTGAGTTAGTTAGTACGTCTGACAGCACCAGCCGTTGACAGAGCAACATGCAAAATTTGAAAAACGAAAGAACACGTGCACAAGCCTTTCTTGGCTTTGGCTGCCTGACTTCAATTCTAGTTAGACTCGCACAAGACGAACTGTGCCATACTGCAGTTTTCGGCAACTGGCGGGACCGGTTGTCATGCCCATTTGCATTGAGATCCAGCAGCACCCAGCACTCTTCGACTCCAGACTTTGTTGACGGCAACATAGCTGAGGTGTCGTTTCTGCAGCGCTTCCACACGAACCTTTCCAAGGTGGTACTGCGACCTCAGGCAAGCGAAATGCACATGACCTCTAGTGTGCATGGCAAGAGGCAGCTGACTTTTCCAGTTGCTCCAGACGCTTCTGCTCTTGCAAGGTTCTGAACTAGCTATTTTGCGGAGCTAGGAACCATGATCTCTAAAATCCGTCGGCTCAGTCGGCTCACAGCTGGATCCACGGCTGTGTCACGATGGCCTATGCACAGGGCTGCCTGCTCCTGTCCTTGGCACGGCCCGACTTGCCGCGACCAAGTCTCAAGGGGCAGGCGGGCTTTTGGGGAACAGACTTACTGCTCTGAGGTCTTCCTTTGAATCATGACTGAAGCGGGCAAGCATGCCTGACGAAGTGCCTCAAGAGCCAGGTGAAGCCATATGGGTCAGATGCCCATTCTGCAGCCGAAGATGAAGAGAAGGGTGTCCTCACGTTGTTGCAGGAGTACGTACAGACATCCCCAAGCTACTCTGAAAGAATCGGATAACTCTGTGTTTGGTTGGGTTGCGTTGTTTGCCATCGCATGGCCGAGGCTTCCGTATTCCTCAGGGCATGCCTGCTCTCCAGTGGGGCTACGATGTCAAATTCACGAAAACAAGGAAATCTCGCTTCCGGGCTCGCGTTGCGTTCTTGCTCGATGGCATACCGCATCATGCAATCGGCACATGGGACAGCTCCAAGAAGAATGCCCAGCGACAGTTGGCGGACGTTTGCCTGAAGTTCTTCATCGGCGCGTGGAGCTCGCATTTGCTCAGTCAGCGAGTTCTCGAAGCCGGACACGGAAGCAGAGCCTTCCACTTTAGAACTGAGTCCGTATTGAGCTACTCGGACTGTTTTTGGGGGCCATGGCCGAGCTCGAGCGTGCCGGAGCGTGCCCGAGCGTTGTGCTTTTTCTAAGCTGAGGCCAGTTCCTTCAGAGCTACGAGCCTTGCGAAAGTACACCTGCTTGGAGCCTGGAAGTCGAGAGAAACCTCGCCGAGCCAGGCCCGCAAACTCTCTCGAAGAGCGCCGAGCTCGCCGAACGTCTCAAGCAGCCAAGTAGCCACGAAGCAATGACAACGAGTTGACTTGGGGATGCGATGGGGTGTACACAAGTGTACGGCCAGGTGCATCTTCCACGCCTGCCGCAGGATACAGAGCCCTCGTGCATCTGCAGCTTCTGGGTGTCCCACACACCTTCGCGGGACGGCTTTGTGGAACCTTGGAGTGAAAGGATGAAATGGAGCCTGCACTGCCAAGGGCGCAAGAATGCTCGTCTCCCCCGCACGCCCTTCCCAGGCACGGCCGAAGATGCGCAGACCGACACTGCCAAGCGGGTGCTGTGGTACTTGCAGTGCCCAGGCTCCGGAGATCGGCTGAGAGGTTGCAATGATAGCCACGAGCAATTTCCCCATCGCACTAGTAGCCTTGCAACGACATCAAGGAACACCTGAATTCGCGACAACATGCAACATGCTTGGCAGGGTTTGAGGATGCATTCCAACTGGATCCAAGTGTATTCGAGTGCCAGGCGGCTTTGCCTGCAACTGAAGGGCTTCTTGTGTAACACGGTGCTTGGTTTCGCAAATCTGCGAGTGCCTGAGTCAGTTCAGGACCGGCTTGTGGCACCTTCGCCGCAGTGGAGTCAGTGGCCATCTCCGAGCCTCGGCGAGGAGTTCGAGAGCTGAGAGTTCTGAGGTTCTAGGCTTTCGCTCTCGGAGTTTGGTGGCGCTCGTTGTTGCGAAGGGAATGCTTGAGGATATCGACATTCCACTTAGGAGCTCGTCTGCAGAGCAGATCCTGTGACGCTCTCAAGAGGCCAGCATGTCCAGCCATTGCAGCAGTAGGAACCTGTTGCAAGTTCGGGCCACAGGCCAACGGCTGGAGCAGAGGGTGCGTTAACCCATGTTCCAGCCTTTTAATGTGGAGGTTTCCGGAAACGAGGCTGTCCCTCAATGTTACAATCAGCTATGCAGGGTGTATATTGGCCTCGAGTTTTCGGAAGCTTCCCTCTGCTTACGAGAGTAAGCTAGGATCTTGCAGTGGGCTGGCCCTCCGTGTGAGACAGTTTAGTATCGATGCGAGAGCTCTCGCATACTGAGGATGTTGCCAATTGCAATGCCTCCTTCCACAGGGCTTTGGAGTGCATGGTAAACGCGGGACTTGTGAATTCAATGGGCTGCAACCTGAAACCGGGGCTTTCGAGACCAAAGGACAGGAATCCAAAGCCTTGGCCGCAAGATGCCAGCAGAGACATGCGGAGAGCAGATTGCCGGTGCCGCTACACGTAAGTTTGGAGCAGAGCAACAGCAAAGCTCAATTCGCCTCCCGACCGAGTTTTGTTCCCTTCTTCTTCTTTCCCATCAGAGACACAGGAGTGTGCGTTCGATTCCGAACCTCGAGAAAAGTGGACGTCAAAGCGTGTGTCTGTACAGAGCGTGGGTGGCAAAATCGCTGGCCACGGAAAGATCCACGCTGTCACCTTCACCGTACATGAAGCAGGGGTTACTTTCGGATTTTCATGATTGTATATAGCACTCCTTAAGGAATTACAGTGTGCATACTTGCGATTGTCGACAATCCCTACTTCACACTCTTTTCGCCAGAGCTTGGTGCTCGAGAACCAGCTCAAAGTTAAGCGAAGGGCGGTGAAGGCAAAATGCTTGGCTTGCCAATTTGCAGGATGAATCTGTTTGAGCAGCAGCCTCGGGAGGGGGGGACGTAGTTGCGGTGTACCATTGCCGGAGCATGATGGGCAGTCATCCTTTGAATTATTCCAAATGCACCACATGGATTTTCTATGTGTGTATACAACGCGGTGACAGATGATATGCCAGGCACAGGCAAGCTGATTCTTCTTGAGGCTCGGCATTCGAGTGCTTACACGTTGCTGGGAGACAGGGATCCCTCGTTTGCCAGAAGAGGGTTTCGTGATTCGCCCGTTTCTGTCCGACGTTGACCATACTGCCGCCATTTGGGTAGAACATCAGTTGTTCGATCCAGCCGCAGCAGGGGTGCAGAACTACTCAAACTGCATGGGCAAGTTTGACAAGCTTGTTTGGCCGAAGCCTCCGGGCATGAGCAAAGCGTTGAGCCACAGCGCTTGATTCTAATTAGGAAGCATTAGGAAGCTCGGTTGTCTCACCTGAACATAATTATGAAGCGCTTTGGACCCGACGATGCTCTGCCACAGGACGCGTTGCAGCCTTGAGAAGTTGCCGAACTGTTTGTGTCTGGGTCGTGTCTGCAAGCGTCGTCAATTCATGCTAGGCGGCTGTGCCGTGCCACCGACCCCCCCCAACTTCCCGGGATTTTGGAAGATGCCAACAGCAGGCAGATCGAGAAGCAGTTTAAGCAGAGGACCTGCGGAAGCTGCATGAGCTGCTCCGCGAAGACCTCTCTTCTCTGCCACTCGTCAAAAAAAGCCGATTCGAAGGTGCCGCCCTGCACTGCTCTCCGAGGTTTCACAAGCAGGAGGTAAAGATGCGCGAGTTGTTGAAGGTTCCTGCACCTCGGCATCTTTTTTGGTGCTGGGGGAAACGCAAAACCCAGCTTCTCCTGTGCCCAAGCCTAAGTCCTTGGTGTGTTTGAACCCTGGCGTAACCTTGAAGCGTCCATGCAGACCGGCACCTCTGCTCTTTGGCTTGCGGGCTTCGAACGAAACTCGTAGCTTCCTAGCGACGTGGACATGCAGGGCCTGGGCTTGGAGCACCTCGTGGCCTGTGGCTTGCCCACCTACAAGGCGTCCCCATGCCTGCTGACAGCGTCGAGGTCTCCGTCGGCTCCGTCTCCAGCAGGAGCTGAAGGGAACGGCCGAGGAGGTCTCGATGGCTTCAGCTGCATGAGCTACAATGTGCTGCTCCCGAACAGCAAGGATGGCTGGTGGATTTACAAGTATTACAAAGACTCGCGTGGCTCGCACACCTCTTGGGCTGAGCGTCAGGCCTTGTTGGCTCAGCAGATTGCACGCGTCCAGCCTGATGTGCTTTGTTTGCAAGAAGTCTCCGAACTCTCCTTCGATGAGGACTTCCGCTTCCTTGGTGAGCAGGGGTATACCGTGCTCATGCATGAGAAGAAAGGCAGGATGAGACCGGCCACTTGCTGGAAAGCAAACTGGAAACAAGTAGTTGCTCAGCATAAGGATCGCACCCTCATCGTGGGGCTGCAGAATCAAACGCTGCTTCTCTTCGTCGTGAATGTGCATCTCAGTGCAGGACCCAGCGCCGACCGCAGGCTACGGCAGGTGCATGAAGCCCTAGAGACCGTTGAGAAGGAAGCGAAGAAGATGAGCAAAGCACCAGACGAGTTTGCAGTTCTCGTTTGTGGGGACTTCAACTCTCAGGGGAGCACAGCCGTCCGAGAGCTTCTCGTGAATGGCGTTGTAAGCCCTGACTTTCGGGAGTCAGGCGATCCGACAGAAAAGGGCCAAGAAGGTAAGCAGATTACTTCAAAGATCCGCAAGCACGGCCTCCCCACCTTCCAAGATGCTGCCGACGTGGCATTTTCGGGGCGTGCTCCTGCGACGATACTGGCCCAAAACATTGATGATAAAATGGTGAATCCAGATGGATCGCTTACCGAGTCAATGGGCAAGGCATTGGATGCGGCCTTCGATGCATGTCGATCTGGCAACGAGATGACGGCTGGAGAGACAGAGCAGTTTCTGACCAGAATCAACCGGGAGCTGGGCCGAGGCAGTGAGCATCGCTTCGTGGAGGCAGTCTTCGAGAAGCGCGGAGAGCGAGCCCTTAGCCGGGAGGACTTCCATGCACTTTATGCAGCCGAGCTGGCAGAAGGGAAGTTCTGGGGGGTTGAACACGACCTGCGTGAGCTCCTAGGCCACGGCTTGGCACAGCCGGAAGACGGCCCATGCGAACTGCGTTTTGATTACATCTACTTTACACCGAAATCGCTGAAACTTCGGGGTGTGCAGGAAATGCTCAGCAAGGCAGAGCTGCAAAGGATTTACGGACATCCTTGGGAGACATTGCCCAACTCGTGGCATCCGTCCGACCACTTGCCAGTTATTGCTTCCTTCGATGTTCTTCACCGAAGCTGAGGTAGAAGTTGAGGTGGCTTCTGCCTTAGGCAGTGGCTGTCTTGCTCCTATTGTCGCTTTACACCACGAGGCAAGCTAAGAAGTGACGTCGGACCGCATGAAAAGGACATGCAACCTAAGATGTCTATGGCACTCGGAGCACGCCCTGCCCACATGTCTGCCATGATACGCATGTCACACGGAGAGCTGCTTTGCCGGGGTGGCTGTAACGTCAGACTGCCAAGCTGGGATTGTTAAATTCCGTCGCTTGCTTTTGCCGGCGCTCTGTTTATGTTTGTTTGCTTGCTTTTTGGCTGTGTTTTTGGCACGGCTGATGCTGCTACAGCGCTGCATTATAATATCATGTTTTGTTGGGGTGTTCGATTGCTTGGCAGCTTGAGCTCCTGCGTGGTGGTTAGTTTGGCGAATCTCCCGTGCAGCTGTCCGTGTTCGTGCTCTCGCATAATGTGCCTGCATAAGTGTATAACTAGCTACATCGATCTAGCCACCTATCTACCTAGTTAGCTAGCTACCGAGTTACCTACCTACCTACCTACCTACCTACCTACCTACCTACCTACCTACCTACCTAGCTACTTACCTACCTACCTACCTACCTACCTACCTACCTACCTTCCTACCTACCTACCTACCTACCTACCTACCTACCTACCTACCTACCTACTTGCCGATCGATCTCAATTTGTTTGTCTGTCTATCTTTATGTTCTGCCTCATCTATCTACCTCTATGAATCTATGTATCAGTCTACTTATCTGCCTACATCTATCTATTTGTCTGCCCGTGCCTGCCCGTCTGTATGTCCATGTATCGATCTATCTATCTAACTAGCCACCTGTCCCATCTATTCTATCTGTTATCTTTCTCTCGGGACTATGTGTTTCTTGTGCGCGTGTCTGCACTACCATGGTGTTCGACAAAGCTAGAAGCTTCCATTAGTTCTTATCGGGCATTCTAAGCAGCTACGTATGCGCGTCCACTGAGGGTCAACAGAGGCCATACGCGGACGTGTCTTGGCCGAAATGGCGTCAGATAGCAGACGAGGCGTAAGTTAGAGAAGGGCCTGTCTGACTTGTCCCAAGCTCCTTCGCATCCAGGTTCATGATCGGAACTTCTCGTCCGACAACTTGCCACCAAATTTTGGCAACGAAGTGCCCGATGACCTTGCAGCCGAGATGCTGCCGGAAGGAGTGCCGACAGCCAGGGGTAACTCAAGAGGTTGTTGAAGCAAGGGAACCTCTGCGATGCCACTTCGTTCATCCAGCTGGAAGTTTGGCCCATGCAGAAGCGTACGTGCACGTGCGTGGAAGTTGAAGCATTCGTCTGCTACTTTCAGGATCTAAGCTGCCACCTCGGCCGACCAGCACGGCCAAGCAGATGCCGACCGAGTCCGGCACCGCCGGCACTTGGGCGGTCAGAGCCGACAGCAGCAGCTGCTCACCGGCATCTACCCTACTTTGATGAATAAATAACGGAAATACTGACCATGCCGGTGTCGAGATATTGATGTACAAATCAAAACAGTTGTAGTAACAGCAAGATTTCAAAGTGAAATTTGTGATGTTTGGTAGAATGGAGTAGCCATGTGCAAGCGTATTCGGAACCAGCAACCACTCAACTTGTTGATACGGCATGATTTTGAAGTCTGAGTGATCATTCGAGCCCACCCCCATAGGCACCAATTCTGTGCTGTGCAGCTTTCTTCCAGCCTAGCCCAGCCGTACGGGGCTACCCCACTTGTGGAAAAAGACTGGCGTGCCGTTGCAGAAGCATTCATGTTAGTGATGGATTCTCTCCAGCATGTCTTTTCAGACCATATGCAAGCTTTCGAAATAAGGGAATGAACGTGTACTGAATGTGATACACGGGCGGGCTCCGAAAAGTTCTTGGGGAATAGAGTTAGTGTTAGCATCAATAGCAATAGTAATTGCAACAATAGTAGCAATAGTTGCACAACAAATCGAGCCAAAGTCACGATGGCGGAAAAACTTGCCATTATTGGGTCCCCACGAAAACTCATCTGGGTGCTCACCAGACGCGGGTTCACAAAAAATACGTCACGATTACACTATATCTGCAATGCTTTTTCTGGATCCACTTCCGCCATGCCGTGTCCCATAGTCTCCCGCAGTGTTTTCGGCATTTGTTGTTTCGCGGGCATTTTCGGACTTCTCTTTGGACTTAGGTTCCCCGGGTTCTTCGGGGGGGCAAGGTGGGTGGGCTGGGAATGAGAACGTTCTTGTGCAAAAGCACACCTATAACATGGTGACCAGTAGGAATGCCGTGATGATGGCAATGAACATGATGACCCTTGATGATGCTAATGATGATGATGACGATGACACGGAGAAATGTTGATGGCGATGATGGGAATGATGGAGCTCACCCAGATGGTGATGATGACAATGATGATTTTGATGATGAGTGTGCTCAGCCGCGGGCGTCGCACCAAGGAGGGAGTAGCAGTAGGATTCGGAGTCGGAGAGGCAGCGGCAGCATTAGAAGCAGCGGCACTCGTAGTAGTAGGGCAGTAGAAGCAGTAGTAGTAGTAGTAGTAGTAGTAGTAGTAGCAGCAGCAGCAGTAGTAGCAGGAGTGGTAGGGGCAGTGGCAGGGGTAGAAGTAGAAGTAGAAGCATTAGGAGCAGTAGTAGCAGCAGTGGTAGCGGCAGCGGTAGCAGTAGCATTAGCAGCATTAGTAGCGGTAGTAGCAGTAGCAGTAGGAGTAGTAGCAGCAGCAGTAGTAGTAGTAGTGGTCGTCGTAGTCGTAGTAGTAGTAATATAGTAGTAGCTTGTAGTACCAGCAGCAGGCGAAGGAGCAGCAGCAGAAGTGCTACTGGTCGTTGTCGTCGTCGTAAGTACCCAGTACTATAGGTATAGCATGTTACAGTACAAGTCGTTCCAGAGATACTTGCAGTATATCAGTATCAGGACTGGTACTAGTATCGCCAGCAGCCGTGGCTATCAGGAAGCCAGAACTACCATCATCTTGACTGTCATTGGCGGCTCTGACACTTTGTTGAAGCTGAGGACTCCTGGGTGTCATGCCTGACCATGGGAGCGGGTACACTGGAGACCCACAGGACGCTGCACCTGCGAGATGAAGCTAATCACTAGTCTTTGAAAATGCCCGAGTTGAAGTCCCAGACATGCAATTTCCGGCCCTTGGGCATGGAATAGATTCCGATGCCCAGGAGGCCCTTGTCCCCGGCACCGTCCAAGATGGCCACGAGCCACCGGGCCAGCACGATCTGAAGCGACATATTGTTGGTCTTGGTCGATTTTTTTGGCTTGACTTCGTGTCCTTATGTAATTATAGGGGTCAAGTTCGCATCTTGGAGTAGCGACGAAACAAGAGACTCTGGCGCAGACCTGGCAAAGCATAAGGATGTGACTGGCAACCAATGGAGGGGTTCTAAATTCAAAATGCTCGGACAGCTCCTGCCCAGGGGGAAGCCGCCGGGCAAATCAACAGAGCATGGTCGTCGATTAAGTGTCCGGAAGACTCAAAAAGAGCAGGCCTGCCGATGCAGTTGCGAAAAGGAGCATGCACGGCGTTTGAAATTCATGCGCAGGAGGAAGATCCAGCGCTGAAAGAGATCCGGATGAAAAATGGGTTTATGGGTGCCTGCAGCTCAGAAACACCGGTGGCAGCTCGCTGTCCGGATCCGCAAAAGAGATCGCAAGAGCATGGAACATGCGAACCCCCGCAGGGTCCTCATGACAAAGAGACGCGGCTGGATGAAGAATTGCCCGATCCTTGGTTGTCTGCTGTCATACTGCACATACTGCAGTTGTTCATGTCGTGGACGGACACCTGCAGCGCTCAGATACAACGTCACCAACTTCTACAAGACGACGGGTTGTTCTCAGGCCATAGCTTCCTGGCCGCAGCTACCGTTACAACCTGGAACGGGAGGGACGTTGCCGTTGTCACTTACGGAACTCTTGTGGACGTAGTCACGTAGGTTCTCGTAGCTCGTCACGGTCTTGCACAGCACCTGAGGCACGAAGCGAGAAGTTTGAGCGGCTTACCCTGCTCGTCATTAGTTTGGAGCTGAGCAGCCAGAGGCGGTCTTGCCGTCTTTCAAACAGGAAGAGAAGCGGCATAGGACACATAAGCTTGAAGGCGTGGGGTCTTGCATCGTCACTGGTGGTGCTGAGGTATCAACGCTGTATACATCGGCAGCTTCGGCGGCACAACGCTTGTGAAGTTCGCTTCTGATACTAAAGCGATTCAATAAGGTGTGGATGCCGAATTCAATCCAGCGGAGACGATGCTGGATGAGAACGCCGTGTGGCCCTTTCAGGTGCAAATGCTTTCCCATGTATATCTTACGCTCAGAGATGGAGCTGTTGCTGGGTGCTTCTTTTGGACCTTATGCCCTTGAGAGGTCTGCGACAACCTTTTTTGTACCTTTTTTACTTTCGAGCTTCTCATTAGACACTCGGCGACACAGATGTGCCTCCTGGAATGTTTGGTGTTGCGCGGAGTCACGGAGCATCCGGTGCGCCTTCGTTGCGGAACTCCCGAGGATTTTCAGCTTTCGCGTTGAAGAGAAACTGTCTGCGTGACAAGTGGTTCGTCTTCGACACGTTGCTGGCAGCTTGGCTGAGAATGTTTGCACGTGTGTTCACGATACATTGTAACATTTTAGTACAGCCTGCGCCGCACGGTCTTGGAATGTCTTGGTGTAGACATCGCGGCTGGTGTCCGGGATCTGCAATACTGGTGTATGTCGATTGGCTGATAAGACATTCGCGCAATAAAGGCATTCTAGGAGACACGCAGTGGCAGTGGCTTGAAAGGTCTTGCTCATGATCGCGGAGACATGGGCCACAGCCTCATTCCTGCTCTGTGGTTTGTTTTGGTTGGCAAGAGAGGGACCTTGCCATCGGGGTAGGACCTGTTGGCGCAATCTGAAAATGGCTAAGGTATTGACGATCATCATTGCCGTCATGGGAGCGAGCACGTCCATGCCCACAGGCCTGGCCACTTCCAAAACGGCCTGATGTAGCTCCTGACTACGGAGCGCACTGACACTTGATAATCCTTGACGGGCAAATACAAGCTAAGCCCTGATGAGCTGATGGCATGAGTCTCGGCGTAAGCGGGTGCGAGGGGCCGAATTCCTCGAATCTGGCACGGACACGTTGCTTTTGCTTGGCACTGCAGGTCCTTTACGACTGCTTCGGCTGCTACGCCTTAGCCGCTTGGTGCGCCTAATACGATCAGCTCCGGAGCTGCTGACCCTCATCAACGGCATGCGAGTGGCTTCTAGGGCACCTCGGACGAAGAACGTTTCACGAGGTTCTTTCTTGGATGCTGCATCTTTTGCTTGGTTTGGTTTGCAAGCCAGAGCCTTGCTGTGATCTTGGAAGGTCCCATAAAGTGCATAATCCGGACTGCAGAAGCATCTCTCCATTTTATTCACTCCTGCACACTAAGGCTGTCTCCTCTGCCTTGCTGCTGATCGGTTTGATCACCTATGTGTTTCTCGGAGGGCGGAGAAAGGTTCTTGTAACAGATGCGGGGCATGTACTTCATCTTGGCTGATGTCCTGTCGAGGTTCGCTATTGTCTTGCTCATGTTCCTGAAGCCAGTTGCTGAGAACGACGACAAAATAGCGGAATCACGGCAGGGATTGGTGCCTGAGATTAGGTAGCGGTAGCGCCGTTGACTCGTCACACGTTGGTGGGGATCCGATCTGAGGAAGCCTTTGGCACCTTGGGTTTCTGCTCCTCAGCTTGAGATAAATTGCGGAAAGCTCAGAGCTGCCTAAATTGCTGGTCGAGGCATTTGGACGCTCATACTGGATGGGACCTTCATGGATGGTTTCTCGGCTCATGAGTAGAGGATGCCCAGTCAAACCTCACTGGAATTCTCCCTGCATGTCTTGAGGAACCAAAGACATCGTCAACGACCTGAGGCATCTCGACTGCAGACCGGCAACGAGCGCACTTTTCTTCGCTTCCACCAGTCACACGATGCATTGCCCCCTCTCGTCCCAAAAACACCCAACCACGTTTTCCTCCCACGCTGTCAGTGGGTGGATTTGGGTTTGGGCCTGGGTTGAGGGGCATCCAGTTCCCCTTTGGCTTCCGCTTCCGCCCTTCCTCCGCCGGTGTCGCATGGGGTCTGCCATCATTCCTTTGTGTTGTGCCGGTGGATCTTGGGCTCTCCCCGCCTGCCTGCAGCCGTAGGTGCGGGATGGTGTGGGTGCCTTAGGATTTGGCTTTTGTAACCCTCGCTTCTTCTGTGGCTGCGGATCACGTGCGCTTGATTTCGTGTTCAAGATCCATAGAGAGTTAGAGAGTTAGATTGTATTTATGTATGTATGTACGTCTGCATAATATGTAGATATTCATAGATGCCTATGTTTATTGTATACATACATGAATATGCTTGAGGTGAGCTGATGTGTGCTCACTCGTGATGAGTGGGTCTGTTGTCCTAGTCCTAGTCGTCCCAAACCTCGCCTGACGTTGTCGAGCGCGACGGCTAAACAAATACATATATATATATATACACATACCTACATAAATACATATTTACTTACATACCTGCATACCTACATACCTACATACATGCATGCATGCATACATACATACATACATACATACACACATAAATACGTACGTATGTCACAGCAGGTAAAGGTCCCCTGCAAATTGCGATCCGGCATGGTCTCTCCTTCGGAGCAAAGATCGAAACTGGATTCTGTTGAAACTATGTTACACCCGCTGTTGCTGGTGCATCTATTCCACCATACTGTTCGGGAGCGCTCTGTTTGTTTCTGCATGTGTGTGTGTGCTGGTGAATGTGTGAGTGTGTGTGTGTGTGTGTGCGTGCATAGGCTTTGTTCGCAACTTAGGACTCTGCCAGACAGGACTGAGTGCCTTGGCAAAGCCTTGGCTTTGTCGAAGGTGACTGCTGGGATTTCTCGAAGACTCTCCATCAAGCGTCTAGATTCTAGCTTATTCCGGCACCGACGCCATCAGGGAGTCGGAACGGAGTGTGAAGGGGTGGTAATATTTAACAGCTCGTTGGCCAGTGGTAGAGTACTTATGCAAAGATTCACACAGGCAGGAAGCAGCCGTGACCAAGCACTCTGCCAGAGCACCTGTGAGCTTCCGTTTGGAGATGCGAAGCCCCCAGGGAGCATTGGATGCTGGGCTGGGCAATGATCTTAATCTTCTTTGCGTACGTGTTGCTGACAAACGTGACGGCTGCCTAGCCGCATTTGGTGCTTATTCAGAATGTTACAAGCTCAAGCTGCTTCAGTGGATTTCTAGTGATTTCTATCTGGGCGGCATTCACAGATGGATCCCAGGTTATGAATATGCTGATCGGCATCCTGTGCGAAGCCCCTTGACTGCAGTTGGGCGGTCACCAGCTTTCCAGGTGTGGGGTTTGCCGATTGAAATGTCAGGTTGTGTCTGAAGTCAAACGAGGAGACGAGGCGGGCCGCCACGGTTGTATCACCTTCCCTCACGATTTCAGTCTGCCTTTATGATCAAGAAACGGCATCCTTCGGACAAGGAGGGTCTCGCGATCGACTTCATGAAGGGACACCTTCGGTCAATGCTGACGGAGCTCGACAAGGTTCAGCAACCAATCCAGTGGCCGGCTGCGGCGTGTCCTTGATGCAGGCTCGAAAAAACGGTCTTCATTTGTGCGCTTTGGACAGGATGGCAACGAAAATATCTCGAAGATGGCCGCTCGACAGCATGTTCAAATAGTGGTCCATCAGACATTATCGCACACCTCCTGCCCACTGGGACCTCCCGAGGAACTGGCCGCCGTCGTTGAAGATGAGAAGGCCCAGAAAGTTCTCTCCGAACTTCAGGCCCGATGGCTCTGCTGCCAAAGCTCCATACTCGCCGGATAAACGTAGTTTTTCTCGCACCGTATAGACCGTATAGAGTATAGAGACTACATCCAGAGACTGCGTCATAACGGTTCAGTGCGACAGGGAAAGGCATGCGCAGAATTGGCACGAGCTTGTCCAGGTCAAGCCTGAGGATGTAATCGACTTGACGGACCGGGCTCTTTGTTTAACGAGGTTTCCTTGGATCTATGCCTTGGCCCTTGCTCTCTTTGCTTTTTATGTGAAAGTTCCTGTATCAGTTGCAGTGGGGTCGAGGCGGCCTTCAGGAAAGCCAGGTGGTGCTCTCCCGCTCTAAGAGCCTTCAGTACAAGTCGCAGCATCCAGCACACCGGCTTCCTGCGAATCAAGCAATTCTCTGAGACGTGCAGCAGCAGGAGTACCTCTTCGAGCAAGACCAGGATGCCGGACGAGAGCAAGAAGTCACACGCTGCGTGGCTGCAGAGTGGAGCTCTGCTCGTACAAGATTTCTGCTTTTCAGCTTTCGATGTGGCTGTCGGAGGCGAAGAGCTCCTGGAAGTGATTCTGAAGATTCGTGGTGGCCGAGAGATCTCTAACCAGGCTTCTTGGTGTTCTATGCATTTATGGACATGCATTCAGGAAGCATGCCTTTGCACGACCACGCCTGTGGCCCTGCCGCGACACGTGTTCACTTTACAGACCGAATCGTTGAGCAGATTGCGAATTCAGGGAGGGGCAGAGAGAGGAAGAGAGAGAGAGAGAGAGTCACCAACAGCTCGCGAAGGACATCATCGACGTTCGCTGTGATGCTTGTCTGCAGCATGCCGCGCTCAGTAAGATGAGTTTGCCGACTGTGTTCTGTGTGTGAATGCTCCAGCCAGCAGAGTCGACGCCGGCGAATGCTTGGGGCCACCTCTGCTCGGGACGCAGATGTGACAGAATCCGACACGAGGAGGTCGAATGCAATGCGCTGAAGTTAAACCGAAGCCAACAGTTTGGGCTGTGTGGGATCAGCAGCGCCACACGGGACGGAATTAAATTCGATCCAGCACGACTTGCTGTAAATCGTACACGGGATCTCGAAGCAAGCTTGTGCACCATACCCGCAGCGGGCTTGTCCTAAGATGGGCTTCCGACGTCACATCTTGCTGCATCATCACAGTTCAGTTCGCGAGCTGTTTCCTTGAATGCCTTGCACCATGCCTGAAGCGGAATCACTCCTGCACGACGATTGCTTTGCAGATCACTGAGGCCACCAAGGCGACGTGTCAGGTTTCGCAGTCTCGGGATTCCCTACCTGTGCCAAGATCGATTCAGGACATTCGGCGAATCGTCCAGCGGCAGACCGGCTTGGCATCTCGGCAGGTTCAGTTCGGCGCCTTCAGCTTGCGGCATTTCAGAAGAGCATGATGTGAGACCTTGCGCGAGGTCTTGAGGGAAATGGGGCATCTTTGTCGGCGGATTGGGAGAATCGAAGACCGCTTCTGGCAACTGGGCAGCCGATGCTGTCTTTGAGTTCGGCGACTGGTGCCAGTCATGCAGTGGTAGCGGTGCAGCTGAGGTAGCGTTGCCTCTGACCGGCTCAAAACCCAGAGCCTAAAAAAACGAGGAGCTGGACAGAACAGCAATGAGAAACATTGTTCAGAAGAGGCTCCGGGGATCCTTTTCCTCAGCTCCTGTCTTTCTTTGCACCAGAGGTGCAGCTAGATGTGCCCTATGGCCCTATCGGGGGCACTGCATCTTTAGGACTTTGGCTCTAGTGTGGGAACGGTTGACGAGCTTCTGCCAACTCCAGGCCACATAGAAGAGTTGCGGTTGCCAACAGCCACTATCAGATTGGGATGTTGCGGGTTGTGTTAATGGGGGAGATCGGTGCGTAGAACAAGAAGCTCCCAAAAATACTAAGAACCCTGGCGGCGAAACCGTTCGCCGGGGTTTCTTGGGAGCGGCCTCGTGGGTGTCTTTTTCCTTGGCAGGAAGCCGTCCCATAATCCCCTGAATGGGTGCTCAGGCGCCTGCAAGCTCATTCTGCTCAAAGGCACACTAAGCCAAGTATTTTGGCAAAAATAGCTCAGGCTGCCAAAAAACGGGCTCGCAGCGCAGCAGCCACGTTTCCTTGCTGCAGCAGAAGCAGCTCTTACTCTTTTAGAACTGCGCATTTTTGATTTGGCGACATTCCGAATGGAATCGCGAGAGAAAAGCAAGGATGCACCCGAAGCACTCTGAGAGGGATAATCAAAATTTCTGCAAGTTCCGGCAGACAACAAGGAGCATTTATGCAACTGTCTATGTAAAGCCCCTGCAGATGGCGGAAACAAGGACCCCTAGGCATGTCTAGGTTCTGGACTCTAGACCGGGTGATTGTATAATCGGTATGAGAGAAGAAGTACTGCCATGGAATACACACCACACAAACTTAGTGCGACAGGCACGGCACAGGGCAAGTCGCTGAGGGAGTGGGGATGTAGATGTGTTTGTGTGTGTCTGAGATTTGTCCGTGCCTCTGTCTCTGTCTGTGTGTGTGTGTGTTTTGTATTAATCTTTTTGCCGGCACGTTGACTGAGTGACTGACTGTATCCATGGAGTATTCCGAGTGGACCATGTGAGTCTGTTGACAGCGCTGTATATGTGACATGTGTGACCAGAGAGTTAGTTTCGAGCGAGAATGCCCGTGTCGGTTATCAGGCTCCGAAACGAATTTGCCGCAGATCTGTGCTACTGGTATCCTGCGTATGTCCCAACGTGATTCGTCGCGGAACTTTGAGTGCGAATGTCTCTGTTGCCAGGCGGCTTGAACTTGATCCTCTGGACAGGACGAACTGCGTGGAAGGAAAAAAATGCGATCACGAGCAGATGGGGAACTGCGACCATGTGCGAATTCCAAGCTCATCTTCGAATCAGCTGAGGCCTGTAGAATTCCGGTTCGAGATCCGATTCCTGGCTCAAGGTGTTGACTATCCGGAAGGTGCCAGCAGCATCAAATGAATGCCGATGCAGTACACGGTTTCACAGGGGTCGTTGGTGGAAATGTGGGGTATGTGTAACACACGCCGAAACGGCAGCAGCAGCATTTTCTGCACCCTATCTTCAGATACGGGCCAGGCATATCAGCGGCATATCTGTGCTCATGGCTACGCGGCTGATGTGTAACTCGGATCGCGCGTGGGTCAAAACTCGTGAATGAAGACAGCAGCTTGATCATGGACATGTTTAAAGCCTATGTTGTGGGTTGCGACGTTACTTCTGTCGTTCCGTAAGTCCCGCGTAGCTCCAGAGGTCGACTGTCATATTATGATTTTCGGCGTTGGTGCTTTGCTTTGCATCTGCTTGCCGCAAGTGTTCTCCCTTCTTGCTTCCTCCTTTGTGACGAGTGCTACTTTCTTTCCGCCGATGTCCGGTGGTTGCTTTCTGCTTCTGGCCTTTTACCCCCACGCCTGAGTACGCAGGAGTTTGAGGTGAAGGGCCACGTGCTTGTACCAAGCTTTTGGAAGCTTGAGAGTTGAGGTGGCCGGGTATTTTTATGGGCTTGTTCCGGAATGCCGTGACTCGTGAGGAAGTCGTCGCAGCCGTAGAAGTAGGCAGTACTGTAGCAGCACATCTTACATAGCAGCAGAAGAGGCAAAGTAGGAGGAGCAGCAGCAGTAGTCGCAGCATTATTATTGAAAAAAGTAGTAGTCGTAGTAGTAGTACTAGTAGTAGTAGTAGTAGTAGTAGTAGTAGTAGCAGCAGCATGTGTCGTAGCAGCAGCAGGAGCAGTAGTGCAGTAGTGGTCGTCGTCGTAATAGTAGGAGTTGTTGCTGTAGTTGTAGTTGCAGTTGTTGTAGTAGTGGTTGTTGTCGTAGTAGCAGTAGTAGCGGTAGTAGCAGTAGTAGTGGTAGTGGTAGTGGCAGCAGGAGCAGCAGGAGGAGGAGGAGTAGTGGTCTCAGCAGCAGTTGACACAAGCAGGAGCGGCAGCAGAAGCAGCAGCTGTGAACTCATCAGGATGTTACTTT